GATGAATAGATGAATAGATGAATAGATGAATAGATGAACAGATGAATAGATGAATAGACAAATAGATGAATAGATGGATAACTAAATAAAAGAAGGATAGATAAATAGATAGACGCATAAATTAATAGAAATCTTGATAAATGAATTAAGGATGAATGGATGAATGGGTAGAAAGATAAATAAATAAAGGATGAATAGATGAAATATAGATGAATAAAATATTGATATATGAATGGATAGACGGATAAATAAATAAAGGAAAGAAGGATGAATGGATAGAAAGATAAATGAATAAAGGATAGGATGAATAGATGAATGACTAAGTGTATAACTATGTATAGAAAGATTAATAAGAATAGATTGAAAGATAGATTAAAAAGAAAAGATGAATATAGATGAATTGATAGATAAATGAATATATATACAAAGATAGATAAATGAATATATAGAGAAAGATAGATAAATGAATATATAGAAAGATAGATAAATGAATATATAGAGAAAGATAGATAAATGAATATATAGAAAGATAGATAAATGAATATATAGAAAGATAGATTAATAAAGAATAAAATAAAAGATAAATTAAAAAGAAGAGATGAATAGATAAAAAAACTGGGGGGGGGGGTTCGTACATTTAAAAAGCTTAACAGTTTATATTAATATTTGCATCCTATATTTTTCAAAAGATAAAAATAATGTGTGGGTTATTAAATGTAACTGCCAGGTTGTCAGAATTTAAAATTATGAAAATCTTAAAAATATAAAATCTGCAATAGAAATAAATAAAAAATACATAAATAAAGAAGTAATATATATGTAGATGATCCCCAAAACTGTGGAATGTTCTAATTAATAAACTCTTCAGTCAGATACGCTTTAATACGCATAAAACTGCAAAGATACGCATAAACCTACATTTAAACCAACATTAAGCCAGAACTTACCATATACACAGGATAGCTTGAGGGAGAAATGAAATTTTCTAGTTTTTGAAAAAATGTTAAATGGCCAAGGAATTAGCATAGGAATTACATATCAATTAAATCCAAGCCATTTATCTCCTAGATTAATCTGTCTAAAGGGGGAGAGGGTTTTTGGGTATGGGAGGGGGGGGGTGAGTTTTTAGGCGGGAAAGGGAGGGAGGGGATCTTAATTGTAATCCTTAAAACATTCTAGACGATTTGTTTCCATAAATAAACAATTTTATTTTTGTTAGAATTATAAAAGCGGTTTAAACCTAATAAAAACCGATAATTAGTAAAAAAAATGTAGACGTGTTACAACTTACTTTACGCCAATGCTTTCGTGACACATTTCCAGATCTTTTTACTCTTTAATAAAGTAATACATTATCATTAAGATATCAGAAGAGAAATTGTTATAATAACAGAGTAAGGGGTAAAGGGGCGGTAATAATGGCGAGGTGAGGTGAGGGGGAGGGGATATTAAGATAAGGGGCACTGGGAGGGGTGGGAAATCATATACTTTAGAAAAACTGTTTCGATAAAATCAGTTGAAGGAGCGCTTCAGAAACACATGAGCTTAAGATATAATTGTAGAAATATGTAAAATATAAGATATAATTGTAGGAATATGTAAAATATAAGATATAATTGTAGGAATATGTAAAATATAAGATATAATTGTAGGAATATGTAAAATATAAGATATAATTGTAGGAATATGTAAAATATAAGATATAATTGTAGGAATATGTAAAATATAAGATATAATTGTAGGAATATGTAAAATATAAGATATAATTGTAGGAATATGTAAAATATAAGATATAATTGTAGGAATATGTAAAATATAAGATATAATTGTAGGAATATGTAAAATATAAGATATAATTGTAGGAATATGTAAAATATAAGATATAATTGTAGGAATATGTAAAATATAAGATATAATTGTAGGAATATGTAAAATATAAGATATAATTGTAGGAATATGTAAAATATAAGATATAATTGTAGGAATATGTAAAATATAAGATATAATTGTAGGAATATGTAAAATATAAGATATAATTGTAGGAATATGTAAAATATAAGATATAATTGTAGGAATATGTAAAATATAAGATATAATTGTAGGAATATGTAAAATATAAGATATAATTGTAGGAATATGTAAAATATAAGATATAATTGTAGGAATATGTAAAATATAAGATATAATTGTAGGAATATGTAAAATATAAGATATAATTGTAGGAATATGTAAAATATAAGATATAATTGTAGGAATATGTNTGTTCTTTTATACACTCAAAGGAATTTCCAAGTTATACAGTAAGCAGCTAGCATGTTGTGAAATATCAATTCAACTGAACAAAAAATAAAAGTTTTTAAAAACAACGAACTATGTTACTATGTAACCTTTTTAGGGATACTGGTCATTTTAGCCCCGCGCCCAGTATTTTTTACACAAACAAATGTCCATTCAAAGTATGGAATGTTTAACCATTGTTTTCTCAACATAAGCTTTCCCAGGAATTTCCGGCATTTAAATCTCCAACGTTTTACGCAGAAAATCCGCAATATGCGTCAATCTCGATAACAAGAAAATCTACACGTACACAGTTGCGATCGGAAGAGGGAAGGGTATCCAGGGGGGGGCAAATCGTGGGGTTGAAAATACTTTGTAATTTGAAAATTGGCCAGGGGTTAGTTTTTATTCTAGATTCCTCGTATCTGCTCCCATATAAGGAATAAATAAATATAGGTAGTAGTTGGGACTAGGTTCTAGGTAACAACTAGGTTTACAGATTACAGGATATATACTCTGGTTAGAACTCCAGATTTACTTCACAGGGAATAATTCTACCAGTTTCTGTTCAGCTAACCCTGAATGCTTTGGGCAGAGATGAAAATGATAATGACAGCAATAAAACTCATAAAATCAGAACATGATGGCCGGCCGATGTTTTACTTTTTACTAAAGTTTATTTACAAAAAATACTCACAAAACCAAACCTAGAATTTATATTACCCTTAGAGGCTGGGTGAGGGGGATTAAAAGAAACAATTCTACAAAACATGTCAGATTTGTAAAAAGTGAAATTGTAAATTTTCTATTGTTGACTCAAGGCTGCATGTGTGTACACTGCAAAGAACTAAATGGCATTTTCCCGGATTCCCATGAGAAACTGGGTTTAAAAGGGATCTCAGGACAATGTAAAATATAAGATATAA